AAAATTATCCGCTCTTTTCCAAGAAAGCAAGCATTGCCAGAAAGAATATGGCATAAGATTAATGCTTGGCATTAATTTTGCCATATTGGGGGTAATTTTTGACATACAAAAATAAAGTTCAATTAAATGAGGTTCAATGATTAAGTAAGGCCCAATTATGTGGCCCAAGAAATGGAGCCCAGTTAGGGAAATTGAGGAATTGGCCAAAATAAGACCATTGTAAAATATAGTGATAGCCCACGAACAGAGGACTATCATCCTCTAAGCCTACAGAACGCCCAGGATCTGAGCGAATGAAGTGTCATATTGTTGCTCAGAGCGACGGTCCCACTCTCGCCCAAGCCTTTGAGACGCCCAATGTCTGAGCGAATATAGCGTTTTGTTCAGTTATTGAAGCGGTTATTGAGCAACTTTATCACACCCCACGATTCAAGAATCTCGGTTACAAGCGATTAAACAACAAGAACAATAATAACAATTGCTAACGACAGTTCCTTGACAAGTCAGCCATCACGAAGAAAGTGAGTAGTTATAGAGCGCCAATAGTTTCCAATCAGTTTTATATGAGAAAATCGGCAAATGAGTATAAAAGGAAAAGAAGACATAAAAGGAAAAGGCCCTAAATCAAATACTCTCAATAGAGAATATGTAATTTCAATTCATTTTCTATTTACAAACTTTCAATTTACTTCGTGTGCTTGTGCCCCTTGGAGGCGTTTTGCTTCTTTCCAATTATAATTTTCATAAATAAAGCACTATTTTTTGAGACTTTGTTTCAATAGGTTTGTTCCTACACAATCGTCTAAACCTATTTTTAATTGTTAACGATAACCCGCGCGAAACACATCGAGATACATTTCACTAGTTATTCTGGTGACACATCTGCACAAATTTTATACAAAATGATTACATGTAATCTTTTTCCCTTTTTGTGATTATTAAGCAAGAATATTATACCTCTGTCTCTGAAACCCATTTTTTTGCCGATTCTGAAACCCCTTTCACAAAAACAAAGATCTTCCAGTAGCAATGCAATCTTCAGAGGCTCTTTACCTTAGTAGCTTTAATTTCACATATACACTGTTATAGCACTATTCGAAATTTAAATGATTTCTGCATATCATCATCTGGTTCATGGTTTTTCTTAATAGTTAGAAAATTAATGTCACTCCTTGTTATATATATTAATCTGATACATTGGTTTACCAATAGATATTATGTAAATGTGTGTTTGATTATCAA